ACTAGGACTACCATATAACTCAATAATCAACTTCTCATTGGGTAAATATTTTTTAAAAAAATCAGTGTGATGCATGCCTATGTTTTGTGCAGCACTATTCAAAATAGCCAGAAACAGAACCAATCTAAGTGTCTCTCAACTGATGAAGAGGGGTGTGTGGGTGTGTGATGGAATATCATTCACCCATAAAAAGGAATGAATCTGTCATTTCTAAAACATGAACTGCAGGTGCGCTATGTTGAATGAAATAAGCCAGGCATAGAAAAATAAGTACTGCATGCTTAGGGATCTAAAAGAGTTGATTTTTTTTTTTTTTATTGGAAAGGCGGATATACAGAGAGGAGAGACAGAGAGGAAGATCTTCCATCCGATGATTCACTCCCCAAGTGAGCCGCAACGGGCCGATACTATGCCGATCCGAAGCCAGGAGCCTCTTCCGGGTCTCCCACGCGGGTGCAGGGTCCCAAAGCTTTGGGCCGTCCTCAACTGCTTTCCCAGGCCACAGGCAGGGAGCTGGAAGGGAAGCGGGGCTGCCGGGATTAGAACCGGCGCCCATATGGGATCCCGGGCGTGCAAGGCGAGGACTTAACCACTTGCGCCACCGCGCCGGGCCCTAAAAGAGTTGATTTTACAGAAGTTGACAATGAAACAGTAGCTGCCAAAAGCTTGCAGAGAATGCAGCACGCAGGAAGGCCACCATGTACCGTGTCAGAAACTTGTGATAGCACAAGGAGAGGGCCACAGATAGGAAAGATTTTCAGTGTTTTCAACATAAAAAAAAAAAAAAAGCAATGCTTACCCTGCACTGCCAGAGTCCAAATCTGTACTGAAACCTCACAAAGAAACTCATGAATATGCACAATTCATATGTGTTAAATAAAAAAAAAGACACTGGAAAAATGTATCATAGTAAATATTAACTTTTGCTGTAAAAAGTTGGGGCTTTATAGTTTTATTTTTGATAGAAATTAACCTTGGGAAACTCATTTAATTTGTAATTAGTTATGCCTTGATTTCTTACCAATTATTTGATTGTATAGTTGGAAATTCTTGGAAGAAAAATATACCAAAAGTTTACTAGGAAACATAAGGTTTTCTTCAATTTTAATTAAATACATTTTAAATGGATAAATTGTGCTTTATGGTATTTAATTACACTAAATTAAAGCATTCATTGATTTAAAGAAAAACAACTCGCCTCACAGGTTCTCGGACCGAGCCTGCTTTGAGCCGCCCTAGGCTTGCTTTCTGAGGAGAACATCTCCTGGCATCCACTTCCTGCTCATAAGCACTCACACTTCACTCCGTGTGCCACTGGGGCTCAGAGTGTGGTCCTGGGGATGCTTTCAGTGGTCTATGGGTCAAAACTATTTTCATAATGATGTGACTTCTTTGCTTTATTGGACAGATACTAATGGTACCAATACAATTGTGAGAAAACAGGCTGGTGCCTTAGCATATATTAAAGTCATAGCACCAAGCTGTACCACCTTAAGTCACTGCATTCTCCACCATGGGCTCAAAGGAAAGGGCCCATTTCACTTCAGAATGTCCTTGGTGAACGGATCAGTGTTCTAAATATCATTAGGCACACCTTTTAATATATTGCAATGGAATGGTAAGTGAACATAAAATACATTTGCTGCTCAAGAAAGAATGATGGCTAACTCAAAGAAAAACCTTGTATAAATGTATGAGCTGCAAATGGACTTGGCTACTGCTTTTCATGGAATATCCTTTTGAATGGGAAGAATCATTAACTATGGCTATGCAGATTTAAGTATCTGATAGACAAAAATGAACAAACCAAGAAACAAGCAATTATCCTAGCAGGTAAGTGACCGTCACCCACATCAAAGCACCTGGGTTCAATTGTCAGCTCCAGGTCTTCCTGCAGCTTCCTGCCAAGGCAGATACTCAGAGGCAGGGGTGACAGCTCAAGTCATCAAGGCTTGGTGGAGTTGCAGTTCCGGCTCTGGCCTCAGTCCAGCCACAGGCCTTGCAGGAACATGGGGTGTAAGCCAGCAGAAGGGAACTCACTCTTCCTCTCAGACACATGAATGCACTGAGTTTATTATCGAAAATGTAACCAATAATATTTGTTGCTAATGACAAAATGTGAGCTTTAAAACGTTTAATTTTGAAAAATATGTATTCACAATGTTAGTCTGCGAGGTTTGGGTTTTTCTGATGAAAACAGTGGTGATGATAATTATTTCCATTTTCCCATTGCTCTGGCATTTGCCTGTCTTCCCACTAGAAAGATAAACTACGTGAAGGAGCAAACTATTGAGCACTTTCTGTGTCTTCTTTAAAACCCAAACCTAAACTTTTCATAGACTAGTCATCTGGGTAGACATTCTAACCTTTGGTATTAGTCTAAATATGTCAATGGGTGTCACGTGTATATGAAGTTCATTAAGTATTGCAGGCTCAAAGTAACTCTGCAGCTTTTCTTTCCATAAAACTTTGCTCAAATTTTTTTCTTGAAATAGTTTTTAATATAAATGTAAAACCAAGCATTTGCTGTAAGATTAAACCAGATAAAATAATTCTTTTAATAAACTGCCTATAGCTCTATAGCAAGAGACAGAACTATCAGCCAAATCCAGCCCACTACAAGTTTTCCTATAGTTTTCTTAGACCACACTCACGCCCATTTATTCATGAACCATCCACAGTGACTTGCGCCCTACAATGGTAGAGATATGAGAGTTCACTCAGCCTGCAAAGTTGAGAGAGATTTTCCATCTGAACCTTTATAAACTTGCCAATCCCTGCTATAGAGAATGAATCTCTCAAAAAATGCTTATATGTCCTTTTAAAGTACACAATATAAATGTTGTATTTTATGCCAATTTGTGTTTATTTCAAACAACACATAAGGGCCTGGCATGATAACAAAGTGGTTAAGGTCCTCATCTTGAACACGCCGGGATCCCATATGGGCACCGGTTCTAATCCCGGCAGCCCTACTTCCCATCCAGCTCCCCGCTTGTGGCCTGGGAAAGCAGTCGAGGACAGGCCAAAGCTTTGGGACCCTGCACCTGCATGGGAAACCCAGAAGAGTTCGCAGCTTCGGATTGGCACAGCACCAGCCGTTGTGGTTACTTGGGAAGTGAACCATTGGACGGAAGATCTTCCTCTCTGTCTCTCCTCCTCGCTGTATATCTGACTTTGTAATAAAATTAAATACATCTTAAAAAAAAATAAAACAAAACATAAGAAGAGTGTAGCCAAAGTACTCAGGAATATCAGAAGCAGTGACAATAATCCCTTGGTGGGAGGGGTGTGCTTCAGTTCTCCCTTATTGCTTGCTTTTATTATGATTTTTAAAGTCCACCAACCAAAGCCAAATACCCATTAGATCCAAATTATATACACTACAAACCAGACTAGGCAATGCTACAGACCATGAATGGATAACTGGCGTGGAACTTACCCTCCTGTCATGAATGACTACATGAAATACATATTTTTGAGCCTCATGCAATGGCTCAATGGCTAAATCCTCACCTTGCAGGCACTGGGATCACATATGGGTGCTAGTCTGTCCCAGCTGCTTCACTTCCCATCCAGCTCCTGGCTTAAGGCCTGGGAAAGCAGTAACGGATGGTCCATAGCCTGGAGCCCCTGCAACCACATGGGAGATACGGAGAAAGCTCCTGGTTTCTGGCTTCAGATTGGCACAGCTCAGCTCCAGGCACTGCAGCCATTTGGGAAGTAAACCAAAAGATGGAAGATCTTTCTGTATCTCCTCCTCTCTTCTTTGCCTTTCTAAGGGAGAGAGAGAGAAAAAAGAGAGAGGAGGAGAGGAGAGGAAGGAAGGGAGAGAGGGAAGAACAGAAAGAGAGAGGGAGGGGAAGAAGGGAGGAACAGAGCAAGACCTGTTTTCAGACTGTTCAATAATGGGCAGGCAGATCAAGATTACAATTACTGCAGAAAAAGTAACAAGAGAAACAAGTATGAAACCGCTTTTGCCTGGCTAAGGGAGGAGGAAGCCAGCAGAGCTCAGCAGTCTCGGAGGAGTAAGCAGACAAGACACTGAGCTTCCCAGAGGCTGAGGCTGAAGGGGTGTGTAAGCCAGAGCACTGGGAGGGAACTGTGCAAACAGAGCTCTAGGCATCTGTCCGGGATGCCTTGAGTCCAAAGCTGAATCCTAAACTGTTGAAAAACAATCTATGGAAGCAATAAAGTGAACAATTCCCCAAAATCTTAAGGACTCAGAGACAAAATTTCATCTCGCCACAGAGGTTTCTCATGCAGCCCTCAGCACAACCAATAAAGATTCCAGGGGACTACATTTTGTAACAAGGATAAAATAGCCCTACAATAAAGGCCACACTAAAGCCACACAAACAAAGAGTCACAAGAAGCCTGGAGAGGATCAGCCTAACCCACAAATCACTTAGCTGCCTGCCAAACCACTGTCATCACTTTTTAAAGGAAGGCTATAAAACCCAAACACTCAACACATAATACATTCAATGTCCATGTCACGGAGCAGCAACAGAGGAAAGTGCAGACAAGGATATTAAGCAGCTACTATAGACAAACTTCATACCCTCAAGAACCCATACAGAAGAAGGCAGGAACATGATGAAGGTCAAAACGGGAGACAGAAAAACAAAGAGATTCTAGTTATTTGTTTTCAACAATTGAAAACATAATATTTGAAATTAAAGACGACCTAGACAGAATTAACACAAGATTAGACACTGCAGATGACAAGACAAATGAACTTGTCGACAAACAAAAACTATTCAGACTGAAGCCAGACAGTAAAAGACTGAGGGGAAAATGAATTAAGGTTTCTCATGTGTCATTGCCCAAAAACTTTTGATGCAATTTCTAATGGAATTCCACTGTTTGAACCTACAAAAGAATCAATCTCACTGAATGACCACACCATACTCAAACAGCATTCTTAGAGTAAAGCCACCATACAGTTTTACCCCAAAATGGCGGAGAACAGAAGTTTCGTTGCTGTCAACACTCACTTTGAGTTTGCACAAGATCCAGAGCAACGCTGGTCACTATATCCATTCCCGAGCTGATGCAGGACTGAAAGTTTCTTAGGGAGGAGAGAGCCGACTCTATCCCGCTGAAGGATATGAATCCAGCGGAGCCTGAGTTCGAGCTGGAACGCCCTGGCATCTTGAAATGATTACCTATATTTTTAAGCACAAATAAATAAGATAAAATGTCAGAAAAATAACTACAAAGTAAAATTAATAACTACTGTAAATATTCACATGACTGTATTTAGCACCCTACCAATGCCACTCTGAATCTACATTCTACCTCCCCGAGAGGATACAAAAGTGCGGTTCCATGATCTGGATCACCAAATTCACAGACTTGGTGGAACCCATATTCAGTAAAAGCAGGATTTCTGTATAGAATTCTTATCTTGTGGTAAGTCATCTGCCATGAGTATTACTACTTCGGTCATGACGCTCATTTTAAACATCCCCTAACCACACCTTCAAACAACTCTTGAAACTGGACCATTTCTATAAAGCTGTGTACAAAAAGACATGTTTGCTTAATTCAGTAACCACCTGAAATTCAGTAAGAGCAACTAAAAAAATGGACAAGTTGAATGGGATGGAAGGACTGAGCCTAGGGATGTGAACACACAAAAAGAAAACAATCTCGGAATCAGAGATGCAACAGAAATTCAGGCTTTGCCACTTCGCGGCTGACCACAAGCTTCTCTGAAAGGTGGGCTTCGTAGTCCAGCACACGGCACACGATGAATCAGCGTTAGAGCCTCTGCAATCTCTGGCACTTACATCCTCTCCTCTATCTCACACCAGTGCTGCTACTAATACTGTTTTCTCACTAATGGCTTCCTTTTAATTAGGTTCACTCATTCACTCCACAAATAGATGCTAAAGTTCTTAGGATATGAATCATTATAATAATTCAAAAACACACAGGGTATAAAAACAGAGATGCTTGAGAGTCTGACTTCTGTTTTTGAGGTGTTAGTCTAACATGAACATCCACTGTACAACTCAGAATCCAGTGACAAATATTTAGTATCTCCTAAGGCGCCAGGCACTTCTTCCAGCATGAAAATACAGTCATTTTCAGGAGGTACACTCTTAAGACTGATCTAACAGCACTACATTGTTTATTCTACCAACATGAAAACCAACCACGCACCAAGCCCCACACAAAGCACTAGAAGTATTAGCCTCTGCTGCACCTGCTGGCAAGACCTGAGCCAGGACGCAGTACCTACTGCCAGATGCTGAGACTGGGGACGAGCCATCTCAAATTGGGCCACAACATCCGCTGACATGTGCGACAACCAAGGCTGGGGCAGACCTAGTGAGGGAAGCTCCAGGATTCCCCTGTTGGGCCACTGTTTATAAAGGTGAGCATGAGCACTGGGACTGGGGGTTAGCCAGCCTGGCTAGGTTGCCACATCCACTGGCATGTGCAACAAAAAAGGTCGGGGGCAGACCTAGTAAGGGAACCCCCAAGACTCACCTGTTGGGCCACTGTTTATACAGGTGAGCATGAGCATTGGGACTGGGGGTTTTTAGACAGCCTGGCTAGGTTGCTACACCCGCTGGCATGAAAGAAAACTAGAATGGGTGCAGGGCAACCAGGCTAGGCCACAGCACCAGCTGGCAAGTGTCAGGCCTGGGTGTGCGTTATGTCAGGCTAGACAGCAGTATACCCTGTCTGGTACTAGGAGCATGCCTGCAGGGGAACTGTGAGCACTCTCCAACTAGGCTGTACCTCCCACTGGTGGACCAAGCTGGACAAAGCAGTGGCACCTATGGGCATACCTAAGTGAAGGCCAAATCTTGGAGCTGGCCGAGTTGATCTAAGCCATGGCACCCATACACATGCATGAGAGCCATATAGGATACAGGTTGGGTCAGGTTGGCACATGCAAAAACTGGGATTGGAATCAGGCCTCTTAGGGGTTACTAAGGGCTGCCCCAATTAGGCTGCAGCACCTGCCGGTTTGAATGAGGACCATATCTGGTGGGCTGGCTAGACTGGGCCACAGCACCCATCAGTTTGCATGAGATATGCGATAGGGGCAGAACAGACCAGGCAGCTACATCCACAAGTATATGTCTGTTGGCTATTGCAGGTGACAGACCACATTTAACCTTGCACTGGCTGATATATACAAAAGTCAAGTCTGAGGGTCACCCCAGATGAGATTTCTTGGGGGGATTCCCCAACCAGACTGCTGGACTCAAATCCCAGCCACAGGGCCACAGGGACAATCACGATCTATGTGATCCAACCTTGGAGTGCATGTGGCAGGACTGGGCCTCCACAGTTGCTGATGCCTGTGCAGTGGACAGCATTCCCAGATGCACATGGGGGACATGACAGCCAGACCATCTAGGTCAGCAGGGGAAGTCAACTGTCTCATCAAAGGATGGAAAGTAGAACAGATTGGACAACTCTCCTCCACACTTTGCAGCAAGTGTCTGGGCATGTGGATACACTAAGGTATACTTGGTCAGCCGGCAGATTTTTCTCAACCCTTCTACAACGAAGCTGACGATGTCTCAGAACTACCAAAACCACTCAAAAAAAAACAAAAAAACAAAAAAAGACTTGGAACTCTTCCCCACAATTGGGTCTCTAAGATGTCATTAAATGACTGTCTCCCATCCCCAGGGTCTGATGTAGTTTGACAGCAGAGTGTGGCCCACTCCTTTGTGGGGACACAGGAGGAAACAAACAAAAAAAAAAACCTGAAACATTTGTCCCGCCCACTTTTTTGTATACCTGACCTTCCCTACCCTAAGCAAAGGTCAATATGGGCATTCATCCCTCTCAACCACATAAACAATGTTAAGAATAAAATAAAATAATTAATTTTAAAATGTTAGCTTCTGCTCCCCAGGGACTCCCACTTTAGCTGGGGAGACCAACATAAGATTTCACAAACAAACAAAGCAACAGGGGACTTAATTGCATAAATGAAGACACAGATAAAACCGAAACCACAACACTGAGCTTGAAGCATAAAGGAAGAGGTTTCACAGAAGGATGGGGGAGAGGCACTCAAGCAGAGCAGCATGTGGGGGAAAAGAGCACAGTCACAAAGCACACAGCTCTCTCAACAAGTACTTGAGTTTCATTCTAATATTTCCTTTTAGGCATCCTCTCTCTACAAAGGCCCAACACTTCTTCCTCCTCCTCCAACTTCACCTTCAGCTAAAGACCTCACTTCCTAAGTCACTGAAGAAACACATGTTGTCAGAAATGGTATTTTACAAGATCCCATTGCTTCTCTCCCAGGCTGTAACCTCCGTGTCCATATCCTGTGACATCACTTATTTGAATGAATAAACCATGTGCACCCTAAGTAAGGCCAACCCCACCGCTCACCCACTTTGCCAGTAGATCTGTTCCTCCTTCCCTCTGTGGGTCACAGTCCCAAACACTCTCCCTGCTCCCCTACATCAGCGACTATGTTCTTGTCTCCTGAATCATTCCTGAAACTGTGTGCCTATACAATGCCTTTGATGTGGGTGTTACCAGACCCTAGTCTCCCCATGTCCCACCCTTAGCTTAAAGTTCTCTTGCCTTTGCCCTGCTCTGAGGATTGTAAATGAACCTCATACTGAAGATTAACTCAGTGAATTGGGGAGTGCTGATTGAGGTCCAGTGAGTCCCACAGGGTCCCACATCACAAGAGTCATAGGTCATCTACCACCTCTACATATCTCAATGCTAGACCCAATGTTGACCATTTTTAAATAATAACCCTGAGCAAACAAAGCAACAACACCCTACATGTAGAACCAAGACCAGCTGGAACCCACTGTACCATTATCAAAACTCCCCAAAGAACATGATCACTATACTATCACCATTCAATCAAAAAAGCATGGCTAGGATTCAGATCAACTGGAGACCTGCACTGCACATGAACTGTTCAGACACACACAGATCAATCCCAATTTCAATATGTAAGATTCTTCACCCTTAACCCCTTATAGGGTCTGGGAATTGCTAGCTGCCCTTTCTCCTTGCCCTGTGTTTTAGAAAATGAATACCTACTTTGTTCCATCATCCCAGTGTCAGTGACTAGTTAGCTGCTAGGATTTGAGGTTCTGTCACATTCCCCTAAACAAACAAACAAACAAAAATGGACTGCTGCTTTTTCTGTTTTAAAGAAAAACATCCTCCTCCATTCCTCCAGCCTGTACCTCTAGACACTACTGCTATTTCTCCGCTCACCTTCATAGCAAAGCTCCTTCTTAACTTTGTCTCTATTTGTCTCCAAATCCTCCTCTCCCGTTCTCTCTTGGAAGCAGTCCAACAGGCTTCCACTCCTCCTCCAATGAGACTGCTAATGCCAAGATTGCTCTTCAGTCCCCAGCTCCTTCAATCTAGCAGCCAAGAGCCTTGGACACAGCTCATCATGCCCTCCTTCCTGGTGCACTCTCAGCACCTGCCTCACTTGTTCTTCCTTCCTCATTGACTAGTTTCTCCTCCACCTCTGCTAGTTTTTCTCCTAGAATCCTCAAGAGGCCTTTTTTTCATTCCATTTTTCCTCAAATCATTTATAGTTGTGCCTCAAGGTTGTGCCTTCTCTGTTCTCGCCACCAGGATATAAGCCCAGAGATATCTACAAAGCCCAACTCCCTCACTTCCTTAAAGTCTTCTTTCTCCATGCCTCTTAATGTATGATCTTCCAGGGACATCCTATTTAAAGCTCTCCCGGTCCTCACCCACTGGGCTTTCCCTACCCTTTTTCCTCTGCTTCATCTTTCTTATCAGTAGTTACCCTCAACAACATTCTCCTCCTTACTAGCTTCATTGTCTCTCTCCTCCAGCTACTTTAGACTCCTTAAAAACAAACACATTTTCTGTTTTGTTCACTGCTACGTTCCAAGTTAAAACGATGTCTTGGCTCACAGTAATGATTCAACAAAAATTTCCTGAAATGAATAAATGAGGAAAATGCAATCTAGGTACCCAGCACAACACTACTAAATCCTAAAGTCAGCATGCCCAGGATTCCTGCTCCTACCCACCAGGGCTCCCAGCCACAACAATCCCAGTCAAGTACTACCACTAAGAAGTTTTAATGTCTATCACTGAATACCACACATCACTTCCCTCCTGACCTAACCCCCTCCCAAACATATTCCTTTTGCTCTTCTATCCT